ATTTCACTGGACAATGACCAAAATAAATAAATTTGAGCATCAATCCCCTGTACTAGGGGTATTGTCTGATCTTTCATATAATATGGTGGCACCCTACCCCGACGCAGCCCTGTTCATCTTGCAAAACCCAGCTCAACATATCTTTGCTCTTCCAGTTAATAATGGTCTTCTTGCAATCTTGAAGACATTAAATCAACGTCGAAAATTTCAAATTGCTTTGAGCTGAAAGTGTGGAAGATCCTACGTATTGAACATGGAAGCATTAACCTTAACAAACCACGATGGAATTACAATAATAAAAAAACTAATCTTTTATTTTTTTTTACCCCCCATAGATCCTTTTGCGGCGCTCAATTTAGTTTACTGATACCGAAAGTTCAAAACCAGTTCCTCTGGAAGGAACTACCTCCAACCATGTTACTCTTGGTCTACCGCATCCTCTCATGGCATTTTCTACCCAGACGAAGAAGAAAACCAATCATATCATCATTTTCAAAGCAACTCTTACCTCAACGCTCCAGGTAAGTAGGCAAAAGCTAGATTTCTCAGGCTCATAACTCAGAACGAATTTTGCAATAGTTTATAATTTATATCCACTTTCGATTGTAATTGAGGTTAGGAAATTAATGTATAATAGGATGGATTATTGAGTTTGCAGAATAAAATTGCAAATAATCATAAATCCCTATAATGAAATACATCAATCACTTAATCCATATTTTCAAAAATTTTAACTAATTTTCCTTCTTTAATATTATCGAGTGCTATGTAGTCCACCTTAACACCCTGTCAATGAAAAATAATCTCAAATCTCCACGATAACAAATCAAATGGACCATTTCTATGGTGAAATTTACAAAAAATAATAGCATACAAAAATGTTCAGAAAGTGAATTTTTTACATTTTTATCGTGAATTCTTCATGGTCGATTTAAGTTTGGAGTAACATTGTGCAAACAAAAGCCTGCTGATTGAAGATTAAAAAATTTTGTACTTCTAATGATTCAAAGAAATATAATATATGAGGTGAAAGCAAAGCAGTACTAAAAATCTGCACCTAAAGGAACATGAATGGGCGAATATATGTCACCAGGATATGCATCAATGGACATGAGAAGCCGGCAAAGCCAACGAACAATCACAGTTTCACAAAAAAGGTCACCACAGAAACAACTTAAAACGAGTCTCAAGGTAATAGCATATGCACAAATGTCATGTTTATAACTTTTAACTGAGAAACAATTGGAAAGTGAAGAAGAAAAAAAACCACACAAACCTATGCTAACAATCTTATTTGGTGGCAGAATTGCAGGCTCTTTAGGAAGAACTTATATAGCAAGAAAGCCAATAAGGACCTACAAATGAGTTGCAAATTGAGATTGTATTTTTCCCTAACAACTCTTTCGACCATTCAAACATCTGTTCCTGCTGAGTTATTGTTGGATCAGCAGCTACTCAGACCAAAGATCTCTTCTGATGTTGCTCCAGATTTCGGAGAACAATACGTGCAAAAATTTTGGCTCCCAGTGGGGCACCTGTTGCTGCTGCTGACGCACGCAGCACCCTTGGTGCTCCAGCATTCTGCAGAAGTCCTACGTGATGCTGTGCATGCCGGCCACCAGGGATGGTAAACTACAATTGCAAATTTAACAATTGATGTTAAACTAGTGTAGAAGGACTACTCAGCATACAATGTATGCAAGTCATTGAGAAAAAAAGAGGAAACATCTACCTGAAGAAGAGCAAATGCGGCGCATGCTTTTAGTATAGAGGAAGGATTTCGTAGCATCGCAACAAATCTTCCTATCTCCGCACCACTGAGTAAAATAAATGCAATCAAGCAGAAGTTGGAAAAGCATCCGAAACGGACAAGATCAATAGCTAGCCAACGAAGGCAGAAAACCACTTAAGAAAATTAAGGGAAACTAAAATAACAGAATTGATAGGAAGGAAAGAAAGAAAATGCTGTATGTTACCATCTTTTTAAACAAAGGTAACCTGTTTGAAAATCAGAGAAGAAAACCTTGCATATTTTGATTGGATACGGTGAGCAATAACACAAGCAAATAGCGAGAAATTTGAATCCAGGACTAAGCACAGGGAATCAGTGAACCAAGGCTGGTGAAGGCCAGAATTTATTTGCAAAAAGTAATACATCAAATACATAAACCTTAAATCTGCTTAGATTTCAGAAACCCTTACAACCAGAATTCTCCCCTAAGGTTGCTTTTATCATTTTTGCTTCGCGGAGCTTATCAACTAAATGTATCAATTTAAAAATTCTCTTTTAAAATCAACCTTAGCTGCTTAGCATGTGCAAATTACAGCTTACACAGTCATGCTGATTTTTAAACAAGCATAAACATCCCTTTATATGATCAAGAAAAGCTCACTAAATCACACTGCAAGGATAGAATATTGAGAATCCAGCAAGACTATCGATACTTAACAAAGGCATGTGGAAAAACACATCATCTATATAATGAAGAAGATTGACTCATTGATTCCAAATTAGATATGATTTTTAAACAAGCATAAACATCCCTTTATATGTTCAAGAAAAGCTCACTAAAGAGCCCCCAGGGCACATCTCCAAGTGGTAAAAGGAGAGGGTGGAGAAATCCAGCTTTGTTTGAGGCTGTTGCGTCAAGGGTTCGAATCCTGAAATATGAATTTGGCTCTTGGGTAAGTGCAAGTGTGCAAGTGTACAAGCAGCCTTCCACCCTGTACCCTTGGAGACATAACCTGCGATTTACCTCCCTCACGATGCTTTAGGGCAGGGGCGGTGAGGGGCCCTTAAGGTTGGGGTTCAACCTTTTTTTTTTTTTTTTTAAAAGAAAAGCTCACTAAAGCTCACTAAATCACACTGCAAGGATAGAATATTGAGAATCCAGCAAGACTATCGATATTTAACAAAGGCATGTGGAAAAACACAACATCTATATAATGAAGAAGATTGACTCATTGATTCCAAATTGGATATGAGAAGGGTAGAAATGTGATGTCAGTTGCCACCCGGAGGGTGGAGGCACTCAGGAAAAATAGAATCAAATACAGTTTAGAATAGTTAAATGAGTAATGTTTTGCTAATATTGATCTTATCAAGGTAGCAGACACCACCAAATATCAGCTTTGATGAAGAACAAATGCATTGCTATCAGCATTATAAACAGCAAAACTAGAATATAGTGCACTTCTGAAACTCAATGGTAAAGTACATAGGTAAACAAATGCCTCAAGCAGACTTCTCTTACTGTGCCAAACTTCTAGTTGCTTATCAACAATTCTTTTGAAGGAAGTAATGAAATAAATAGGAAAGAGAAAATGTTAAATTAGCAAGTACCAACAAGATGAGATTGCAGACAGACAGACAGGCACAGGCAGAGAGAGAGAGAGAGAGGAACCTGCATCTTAGATGGCCTGCTTCTTGAATCCGAGCAGATTCTGTTACTTGGGTCAGTGCAGTAGGAGCTGATGATGCAGCAGCAGCAGAAAATGCTCGTGGGTCAGAAAAGGTCAGGACAAAAGCTTCAATGTTTTTTAAAGCCATTTTTCTAGCACCATCTAGGCTTACACTCTTGGAAGTGCTTTCTGTGGATGTCCCTGTCAGGGCAATTTCATCCATTCTGCAACACAGCATGCAATTTTTGTCTAGCCTATTCAATATGAACAATGTAGAATGTACAATCAAAAGGAAACTAATGGCTTGAACATCAAGCAGCACTCGAGCATTAATGCCAAGGACTGAGTCTGCGTCAACAGTGTTCCTTTCATCTGAACTCATTGCACATGAAACTATTTAATGGTCCTTAAAAAAAATAATGTACATCTAAAAGCAAACATGAAACTATTTAATGTTTGCATCTAAAAGCTATCGTTACCAAAATATATTGGGTTCTCCAATTCTTAACAAACAGATTATTAAATGTTGCAAAGCTTAAATATGCCAATTCAAAAGCAAATCTCAGTCTAATAGGGAAGTATCTGCTCATCCGAAAACTAAAGCAGTAAGAAAGCCAATAATTTATGTTATTTATATACAGCATGCTTCAGTGTGCACAACATGACTATTTTACACCCATAAGTAATGGCTGTGACACTTGAAGGAGAATCCTTCCATGCTGCAATAGCATGTTAAATCACCAATTGCATCTAAAAAAGTAATTTGTTTGTTTGTACCTTAAAAATGTACTAAAAATTCTTGGACTTGTGTCTTATTTAACATCATATAGCTTCACAGCCATCTTGGCTGAACTTTCATATGCTGAATGACATGCTTGAAGTTGCCAGATTAATGACAAACAATATACGATGAAGTTGCCAGTAATGACAAACAGTATACGATTTTTCTCCTTTTTATGGTAAAAATCAGTTTTTACCAATAAAAAGACCTAAAAGAAACTAAATATGTTAAATTTTTCCATGAAGGTGAAGCGAATTCCTTTTTCCCATACTTCTACTGTGTGCATTTTGTTAATATTTGATATTGGTTCTTATAATTTTAACAATGGGCAGAACGCCTCTTCCGGAATAAGGACTGAATACTAAGTACATTCCAAACTGTTAAAGTCATCCAGATCAAAAGGCTTGAATCAGGACAGACTAAACATATGGGTCCAAGGAAAAAAGGTCTTGTCATCACTTTCGAGATGAAACCCTTCAATGTACATGATGACAAAGGTATTCAATTTCTGCGTTTGACTCGATAATCCTCATTATGAGGGTTCCTTTATATATATAGGAATAATTACGCACATTACACAGCCGAATGTCAGCCACCACTGTACATGTATGGAAAATGAATAATTTTCTACCAATTACAACTAATATACAAAACATCTTTTCTAATTGTTGGCTGTAAATTAGTTTTCCCATCTAATTGACATCCGCCCTCAAATTGATGTTGGGTGATCAAGAAGCATCAATTTCCCACAAGAAAGAGATGACGTTGTCGTGTCATAGCTTTGGTAAATTTGTCGGCAATTTGAAGATCAATAGAGATATGTGGAAGAGAAATAATACTTGCCTTAAAAGCCTCTCTAATTGAGTGACAATCCATTTTGATATGCTTTGTACGTTCATGATATATTGGATTTGTAGCAATCTAAATAGCACTTGTGTTGTCCCATTAAGGGTGTAAGATCAAATTGAGGAAAGCCGAGTTAAGCTAAAAGCCCACGAAGCCAAATAATCTCAGAACAGGTAACGGACATGGCACGGTATTCGGATTTAGTTGAAGATTCAGACACACAAGCCTGCTTTTTACTCTTCTAGGAAATCAAAGAATCACCAAGAAACATACTCTAACCCTTAACAGAACGACGAGTATCAGGGCACCCAACCCAATCCGCATCACTAAATGCAACAAGACGAATGGGAGAGCAAGTAGGAAAAAAAAGATCCTAGATGAAGATGTCGTGGAGCCAGCAGGAAAAAACAATGTGACGAACAGCCCCAAGATGGAGATGTCGTGGAGCTTGCATAAACTGATTGACTTGCTAGACTGCGAATGATATATCAGGCCTAGTGATGGTCAAGTAGTTGAGGCTCCCAGCTAATTGATGAAAGATAGTAGGATCAGGAAGGAAGTCACCCTAGTAGGATCAGGAAGGAAGTCACCCTCCTCACTACGATATTTAACATTGACTTCCAGAGGAGTATCAACAGACGAAGAATCTTGAAGACCAGCCAAAGTGATCAAGTCTTGGATGTATTTGTGTTGGTTCAGGAATATACCCGTGGAATTGGTATGTACTTCCAACCCTAAAAAATATGTAAGTGGACCAAGATCCTTCATATGAAAGGAAGCCGGCGGATGCTGTGGAGTTAAGTGATCAACCTAGAATCCGTGCCAGTGGTAACAATATCATCCACATACACAAGTAAAAGAACAATACCAGTAGATGTCTTGCAAAAGAATAGGAAGGAGTCATATTGGCTTTGGATAAAAGAAAACTGTAACTAAGTAGATCGAAACTTTTGAAACCATGCTCGAGGAGCTTGTTTCAACCTATAAAAAGACTTCTTCAACTTGTGAAGAAGAAGAAGAAAGACTCAGAGGAGGTATCGTATAAATATCTTCCTTCAGATCACTATGAAGAAAAGCATTTTTGATGTCCATTTGGTGAAGAGACCACCCTTGAGAGGCAGCAATAGAAAGAACAGTGCGCACCGTAGTCATCTTTGTCACTAGAGCAAATGTCTCAGCATAATCTACTCCAAATTCCTGCCTATTTATGAGAACAACTAGGCGAGCTTTATAACGATCCAGAGTTTCATCAGAACGAAGCTTAATACAGTAGACCCACTTACAATAAATAGCCTTGACATTAGGTGGACAAGGAACTATATCCCAAGCAAGATTATCCTCAAGTGCCCGAAGTTCTTCATCTATAGCCTTCCACCAACATTTACGTTTAGCTGCTTCTGAATAACTAGGAGTTATAGATGTCAATGTAGTGGCAAATGAATGAAAAGAACCACATCTATCAGGCGGTCGAGAAATGCGGGTAGATCGTTGAGAACCCGGATCAGGAGGTACATTAGTATCTGATACCAACTCAGCCTCAGAAGAGAGTGGCTGGACAAGGAACAATATCCCAAGCAAGATTATCCTAAAGTGCCCGAAGTTCTCCATCCATAGCCTTCCGCCGAATAACTAGGAGGTATAGATGTCAATGTAGTGACAAATGAATAAAAAGAACTGCATCTATCAAGCAGTTGAGAAATATGGGTAGCTCGTTGAGGACCCAAATCAGGAGGTACATCAGTATCTGATACCAACTCAATAGGGGCGAATCCAGGATTTTGAGTCAGCACGGGCAGTCGTTGACCATCTACTGCCGATCGCAACAAAATATTAAGAGTCCGTTTGATGCCATTTTTTTGGGTAAAAAATGTATTTTTAAACAGTGATTTGAAGGAGAAAGTGTGGCTAAAAATAAATAAAATTTTTGAATTTGCGTATAATATTATTTTATTGAAGAATGTGTAAATAAAAAGAAGAGAAAAAATGGAAATCGAATAAAGCCTAAAGTTTTTAAATATAACAATTATTTTGTTCGAATTGAATATATATAATTTTGTTATAAGAATAAAAATGACTCATTAAATGACATTGTTGTCAAGTTTTGTATAATTCAAAAGAAGAGCGCGAATTCTAATATTTACAATTTGGCTTAAACCAGTTAAAACCTAATAAATATTGTTTTGTAAATGAAGTGACACAAATCAAGAAGTGCCACAATGGTTAAGTTGGCAACAACCTTTGCAAGAGTTTGCAGGTTCGAATCCCTTTGTCTCCATCTTCACAAAAATCCCTTAATAAGGAATTGAACCCTAGACGTCATATAAAAATATGCAACATCCAACCAACTGAGCTACACGGGTGATTGAGAACAAAATGACTTACTAGTAATATAAGGTAAACTTTAATCTATTACCAACAAAAAATAATTCTCCTGGCGGATCAGCACGCGCCGTCGCGGGTGCTTGCCAGGTGCTAGATCCGCGCCTACAACTCAGGCTCTGAAGAGAGCGGTTGGACAAGATTAGATGTGAGGTCAACTTTAAGAAGAGGCCTATTTGGTCGACGTCTCTCATACACGTGTCTCGGCTTGAATCTTTCAAGATGAGAAGTCAAATCATCAAAATATGGGAGAATACTAATTTCAGGCAAATGTTGAACATGAATAGGAAACAAAGGTTGTTGCTCAAAGAAAACAACATTATGAGAAATACAGAATTTATTAGAACATGGATCATAGGAAACATGACCTTTGTGTCAAACACTATTGCCCATAAAGGCACACTAAACAGATTGTGCAGAAAGTTTGGGTCGTTCATGAGAAGGTAAATAAACAAAAGAAATGCACCCAAAAGTATGCAAGTCATGATAAGTAGGATGTTGATTATGAAGGCGATAATAGGGAGAGTCAGAGCGTAAAATTTGTGAAGGCAATCGATTGATTAAACTGCAGTGGATACTGCTTCAACCCAAAATTTTGAAAGAACATAGGAATCAAGTAATAATGTACGAACGTCCAATAGATGACGATTTTTTTGTCCTGCCACCCCATTTTGTTGATGAGTATAAGAGCATGATCGTTGAGCCAAAATCCCTTTCTGTTTTAAGAAATCATGAAACATATATTCTCCACCTGAATCAGATCGTAAAATTTTAATACTGGTAGAGAATTGGGTCTCAACATGTCACAAAAGTCTTGAAAACTGAAAGTACTTCAAATTTAAAATGGAGAAAATGGATCCATGTGTATCGGCTATAATTATCAATAACAGTTACGAAATATTTATACTGGGAATGAGAGGCGACAGGCAAAATGCCCCAAACATCACTATACACAATATCAAAACTCTTTTTGGCATGACCACTATGAGAAGGAAAAGGAAGAGTCTTACTCTTTCTCAATTTGCATGTAGAACAATCAAAGTACAAATTATGGAAGAACTAGTTTTATTATCCAACAAATTGGAATTTAACAAATAAGATAGGATAGTTGAGTTTGGATGGCCCAAACATTTGTGCCAAATTTTACTTTTTTTGTTAACGGTTATACAGGCCAAAGATAAACAACTAGGAATAGAAAAATGTAATGGAAAGCTGATGCAATCATTTGCTGCACCATTTCAAGAGTAA